TACGTTTCCTCAATGCATCGTCGTTTTGTCGCCGTCGTGCAGACCTATTTGTACGGCCCATGCTTGCCGCGGGGCTTCTTGTTAACTTATGCATGTGAACTAAACCGACTATTGTTGTGTGCGCGTGTATGGGTCCTTTTCGTCGTGTCTGGTTTATTTACGTCCTTTTTCATGGTGTTCTCGTATATTTTGTCCCGCGATGGCATTATTTTACTTGCACTTGTATTCTCCGTTACGGTTGTTTTTCTTACCGCTGTTCGTTGATTTGCGAATCGTGCTGATGTATGGCTGACACGGATGAATCGATGATCTTATTTTCTTAATCTTGGGCACTACCATGGTCATTCAAGTCGGGAAATTTGTTGTGACGTTTCTATGACGTTATGCATCCCTGGGTGACTTAAAATCAGACGGCGGAAAATAGTCTTCATGAAACGTTATGGGTCCTAGCTCAGGAACGAGTGTTTGAGGTCTTAATTTCGTGGGTGCACAACTGTGTACTGCAAGAAGCGATCCTGAAAATGGCTTGTTTAGTTCAAAACACCATGCAAACATGAAACTGTTCCTGAATGCAGCAAATTCGGATGTCCAGTCGTCCTGACTCAACAGTGCCCACAGGCGGTGCGGAGACCCGCCCAGTGAGACATGCAATGCAGGTCTTGTTGTCTTGTTGGTGCTTTCGGGCGCGTCGACCGCAACGGTCATTGTGTGGACGCCCAGTACAGGCATGCAATCACTGATGTTTGTCGTGGCTGCTACGCCGGAAACGTGCATAGGCAGGTGAAATATGCAACAAGATGCCTTTTAAAGGTTTGCAGCGACTTTCGTTGGAGCGGCGCAACACTACAAAAAACCACAAACCGTATTTCGGCTAGACTGGATTTTCCCCGGTGTGGAAAAAAGTGGCAGCTACACGGCATTTCAGGGGATTTTCCTTCGGAATCCAAATCGTGCTCGATACACCCCACATCACTGCAGTCTGCTTCACCGGCCAAAAAGTTCCGGTGATGTCTGGGCATGATGTGACGAGCCACAGGCCTTTCTCACGTTACGCCCCTCCCCCCCCCCCCCCCCCATGACGCTTGATGATGACGCATCGCCGACGACTGTCAGCAGGTGTGCGCGGGAGACGTGCGGCCCTCCTTGCGCTCCCACCGACGGAGCGCCGGCGGAGCCTCGCTCACGAAGCCACGAGCCTCGCTCACGTCTCGCCACGAGCCCCGCCTCACGTCGCCACGGCCTCGCTCACGAGGGGCCACGGGCCTCGCTCACGTTGCCACGAGCCTCGGGCCATGAGCCTCGCTCACGTCGCCACGAGCCTCGCTCACGAGGCCACGGCCACGAGCCGCTCTCACGGTCACGAGGCCAGCACCTGGCAGATGACACCGTTGATGGCCAGCACCTGGCAGATGGCACCGTTGATGGCCAGCACCTGGCAGATGACACCGTTGATGTCGTTCAGGCAGCCCTGCGACTCCCACGAGCCGCCGGGGAACATGGCGCTGCAATCGTGACCCGGCTGGGAGTAACCGTCGAACCAGGCGCTGAAGTCGAGCAGGGACCAGTGGGCCCGGTGTCAGTCGGCCTCCTGGAAACGGACCAGACCCAGCCAGGCCCAGTTCGGTCCGGCCAGCCGCGCCACCTCCAGGCCCGGGTCGGTCCAGTAGCAGTAGCGGCCCTCCTGCTGTCAGTTGAGGCCGGGGCAGGCGGCGCGCGCCGGCCGACACCACAGCAGCACCAGCAGCGCTCCAACGCTGCGGGCGGCCGTTGCGGGGGTGCAGAAGTGCAGACCCGGGCCGGCGGCGGCGCCTCAGGTCAGTGCTTAGGAGCCGCCAGGTGACCCGCGCAGGTCAGGTAGAGCTTCCCGGCTGTTGCATCGTGCGCGGCGCGGAGGGGGGGGGGGGGGGCAGGGGTCCAGGTACGTGGGATGGTGACGCTCCTGTTGTCAGCTGCTTTGATTCGTTCGTCAAATATTCGATTCTTCGCGACTTGATAAGCCAAAGCTTGGCAATGCGTTTCTTTATGTAATCAGCGAAAATGGTATCAGCGTGATGAAAAATAGCTTTTGAAATACTTCCGTCTACTGCCGAGTTTTGATGCTATTCCTGCGCGATGCTGTTTGCGAATGCACTGATTGAAGAACTGCGATCAAGGTAGCTCCTTTACTCCAGCCCTTTAAACGTGAGAGTTGTGTGGTATGACTGTCCTCTCCATACTAAAGAATGAAGCAGTCGTTGGCAACACGTTGACGTTACCTTGCGGTCTTCTTTTCAAACATGTGCAGATGAGAGGCATAAAGTTATTAGGCACAGGACGATCTGAGACTGTTTCAAAAGCGACGCTTAACCTCGCCCCCACCCACCGCCGCCGTCAAAAGAATGTTATGGTCAGCAGCAACGCTACACGGTCACAATGACATTTGCAGGCGTTTTCTATCATTTACTTCTGCGCCATAACACAATGAGACCGAGTACGCAAATATGTACCTAGTGTAGGTTTGGTGCCCGTAAACCAGTGGCGCCTTGAAAGGAAGCGAGGCACTACAAGGATATGTGAAAAGTTGCTTGGTAAATGTTGTAATATACGCAGCGTACAGCGGAATACTAACAAATATCGACGCCAGTGGCAGGACCAGGTGTGGTGGTGGGGGGGGGGGGGGAGGGGGGGAGGGGGGGGGACTCACTGAGAACGCAGCAAGCTGATTTTGGTAGCTTCCATCGACGCAAGGTCAGGAGCGCAAAGCCAAGATTACGGAATAATGTGGATAGTTGTCTGACTTTTTGGTCACAGAATTTTGGTTTAGCGCTTACTACCGAAATGATTTAGTCACTTTCGTTCCCTTTTGTAACATGAATATTTGCTCGTTTTGTAAAATAGTTTAGCGACACGTAAATTTAATGACAGTACTGACATCATAACGATATGAGGGCATAATCAAGGAGAAGTATTGTGTGAACCGAATATGATTTCGGAAAAGGGTGATCAAAACAACTGCTTTGGTTTCAAATCGCATAGGCACTGCCATGGATAGCGACGTATAAAGCCAAAAGCGGTAATTTAGCAACAAAGCAAGCTATAACTGAGTAAAGATCCACGATAGGTGCGCAGCCGAAACAACAGTTTAAGGCACCAGGTCAACCAACATCGACAGCTCATTGACACACTCTTCTAAAATCTTTTTAACCGACGTCGGTATTGCTGATGCTAACGCGGCATTGCTGATGCTGACGCCGGTATTGCTGTTGCTGACGTCGGTGGTGCTGATGCTGACGTCAGTATTGTTGAAGCTGACGTCGTTACTGCTGATGCACCCTTTCTTCGACTCTCGCTAGTCGGCCTCCGCTGTCCAACGCTTTGGAACGGTCGGGTGTCCTCTAGGCTCACGAATAACGCCAACCTAGAATCACGAGCCGCCGCTCCACCAATCGTCTTCCAAGCGAGCCTGTTTCATCAGAAATGACGAGACGCTCACACCTGACCTAGGTCGCGGGATTGCCTTTCTGGAGACATGCCATTGGGCTTTACGACGTACTCAACTGCACGTGGCGTCACGTGCCTCTCATGCTGGCAGCTTGGCAGCTTGGCAGCTGCACTCTGGTACTCCCTTCTGGAGGCAGATTTGTAGAGAAGCTTCGGCTCTGCGGAACGGCACGGCCGAAGGCCGGTAACCGGCCCGCAGTCAGACTAGTACCCGTTCTACAGCCCACACCGGTCCCACTCTGCAGTCCATACCGGTCCCCACTCTGCAGTCCAGACCGGCCCCACTCTGCAGTCCACACCGGTCCCACTTTGCAGTCCACATCGGTCCCACTCTGCAGTCCACACCGTCCCACTCTGCAGTCCACACCGGTCCCACTTTGCAGGTCCACATCGGTCCCACTCTGCAGTCCACACCGGTCCCACTCTGCAGTCCACACCGGTCCCACTCTGCAGTCCATACCGGTCCCCACTCTGCAGTCCAGGCCGGTCCCCGCTCTGCAGTCCAGACCGGTCCCACTCTGCAGTCCACACCGGTCCCACTCTGCAGTCCACACTGGTCCCACTCTGCAGTCCACACCGGTCCCGCTCTGCAGTCCAAACCGGTCCCCACTCTGCAGTCCAGACCGGTCCCCGCTCTGCAGTCCAGACCGGTCCCCACTCTGCAGTCCAGACCGGTCCCCACTCTGCAGTCCACACCGGTCACACTCTGCAGTCCACACCGGTCACACTCTGCAGTCCACACCGGTCACACTCTGCAGTCCAACCGGTCCCCGCTCTGCAGTCCAGACCGGTCCCCGCTCTGCAGTCCAGACCGGTCCCCGCTCTGCAGTCCAGACCGGTCCCCGCTCTGCAGTCCAGACCGGTCCCCGCTCTGCAGTCCAGACCGGTCCCCACTCTGCAGTCCAGACCGGCCCCCACTCTGCAGTCCACACCGGTCACACTGCAGTCCACACCGGTCACACTCTGCAGTCCACACCGGTCCCGCTCTGCAGTCCAAACCGGTCCCCGCTCTGCAGTCCAGACCGGTGCCTGCTCTACAGTCCAGACTGGTTTCTGCTCCGCAGTCCAGACTGGTCGCTGCTTTGCAGTCCTGACCGGTCACCGCTCCGGCCTTCTGCTTATGCAAATGACAAGCCAGGTAGGCCCGGGAAGGTAGCGAGGCCCGCGGGCTGCCGGGAGCCGTGAGAATCGACGAAGACAGGCTCGCTGAGCTCTCCAGCCGCTGAACTGGCCCGGCCGGTCGGGCATGCTGTTGTGCGGCGCCCTGGCTCAGAGCTTCACCTGTGTGTGTAATTAGCGTTCATTAGTTGAATCGTATTTCAAGCTTGCCGTGACTTATAATATTTGCGGACCTTGAAAATAGATCGAGTCTACCGAGGTCCTGCATGTTCTGAATCGCCTCTGCTCGCGTGTTGGGGTGATTCAACGGACAGGCATTGTTCAGAAACACATTAGTGGGATGACATGGAGGTGCTGCGAGAATATCAAGCCGCGGTCACCGACACTCAAGCGAGTAGCTAATGGTCGCCCACACGAGGCCCTGGCTGGAGGTCGTCTACTTTGCCGGGGTAATTGTTCGCGGTGATTGCATCTGACGGCTTTGTGACTGCTGGCTTAAGCGGTTGGGAAAAATGGGCTCCTGCTAATATTTTTTCACATCCACATCACGAGCCGCCTCAATGAACCTCAAGCAAATTGCAGACCATGCAGCTGCCTTGAATCATATGTTCTGCGCCTAGGCATTTCTTTTGCAATAGGTACGCACGGCGTGGAGAAGACCCCATGCGTGAAAACGGCTCCTTCCTGAAACAGCATGCACGTCGTGCCACTCATTGCTTACTGTGATAATTTACCAATTCCGCTCGTCCTTGCCGTGGCGCAACATCGCATTTGCCATTGCACAATCACCGTGCGGTAAGAACCAGTAAGAAGGACGGCCAATTTCTCTGGGAGTTATTTCGGGGTTGGTTACCACCCCATTTGGAGTACGCAGATGGGACAGGGTTACTTCAGGGCGCACCAGCGGACGCCAGTTTGCGTACCGACGGCAGGTCACGGACGACAGTCTTCAGGACGCACCAGCGGGCGCCAGTTTGCTCACCGGCGGCAGGTCACGGACGACAGTATTCAGGACACACCAGCGGGCGCCAGTTTGCTCACCGGCGGCAGGTCATGGACGACAGTCTTCAAGGCGCACCAGAGGGCGCCAGTTTGCTCACCGGCGGCAGGTCACGGACGACAGTCTTCAGGGCGCACCAGCGGGCGCCAGTTTGCTCACCGGCGGCAGATCACGGACGACGGTCTTCAGGGCGCACCAGCGGACGCCAGTTTGCGCTCCGGTGGCAGATCACGGACGACGGTCGGGGTTATGCCCCGCGAACGAACTGCCGCTCGAAGGCGGACGGAGGCCTCCTGCGCACGTGCTGGGATGTGTGTTTCGTTATCGAGCACGTGGGATGCGGACAAACAGTTGTTCAGTTCCAACGGTGAAGTGAAGTCTGAAGGTCACTGTCCAGAAGGTTATATTCCACTCATAGCGTGCAAAGGCATATAGGCCCTTCGTGCCGGTCAAGTTTGGGTAGCTGCCTTTATGAGAACAGGGCTTCAGCGTCGTGTATAGCATGCGTATCAAACGAAGAGGGCAGGCAGGATCCAGACGCCGCCACGTTTCCGGTACACCGGCTTTTAAAACACGTAAGGTGTATAACTTCGTGCATGATTGACTAGCCCGCGGCCTATAGGGACGCAATGATTGGATATCCCATGACCTGTAAGAACCTTACCGCCTCGAGATCCCGGAGAACTCGAGGACAGCTTCTGCAGAAGATACCCCCGGGGCTGCCACGATGCGCCCCGTATAACGCTGACGCTGCTCCGTTTTAAGTGCGCAGCGAATTTAAACGCTCTGGATCGTTTCCACGCCTGGCTGTTCTAGACGAACAGCTAATGACTGCATGATTGCTGACGAGGCGCGTTCGTTAGCTCATGCGCAACGATTCCACTAAGATAAAGCGTGCGAAAGTCGCCATAGTGCGCTATCAGTTGTTCGGCGCCGCCGCCACTACGGGCACGGGCGTGCGGCGCGGTGCGGCCCTGCACGTTCTACCGCGGGGCGTCTCGTCCGGACGCCCAGAAGTTCATACGGCGCAAGCACGACTTGGTGTCGCCTGCGGCTGTTCTTCTGCAGGCAATTACGGACTCTCACGGCGCCGAGATGGTGAGAAAATACCTGCGATGCCGCTATTCGCGGGGGTGGTCTTCGGCCGGGGAAAATCTGTAATCATAGTGGACCGCGTACGCTAAATGGAACATTCAATTAAGCCGCCGGCTCATTTCCCTGCAGCCTGCACCGCTTGTCGAAGGGTCATAAGTGGTCAAGGTTAATGGCACCCAACGCCCTCCATCAAAACCAAGAGCGGATTCCGGCTTTGATGAAAGGGTTCAAAGGTGAACTCACAAAACGCTGGCCGCGGCTGCGGTATTTCACAGCGGGCGATCGGCCAGGAATTCTGCCGGGCATAAGCACCGAACAAAGGAAGCAGGCCACTTCTTTTACATGGGGGTGTGCGGGCCGCCGGGCGGGTTGCCTGGGTGTCGACCACCGCTGCGCTGAATACCGGCCGCGCGCGCCGTTGCGCTGAGCGCCGGCGCCGAAGACGGCCGGCCTCGCGTCGCATTCTTCGCCGGCGGGCATGGGCGGAGTCAAGCGTTCCTGAACCCTGGCCGCGGCGGCGGCGGCGGCGCGGCCGGCGGGAGCGTGAGAGCCCGTGAGAGTGGGCGCCGCGTCCGCCGCCGCGCGATGCTCGCCGCGGGCGTCGCGCGAGGTGACGTGCAGGCTGCGGTGTACTACCGGCGCTAATCGCCGACGCGCGGGCGGCGGCGACGGCCGGGCGCTCGGCATGCTGGTGCTGCGCGCGTTGGCGGCAGGCGGCGGCGCTGGCGGCGGCCGAGCCGCCCCAGCCCGGCCCGACCGACACCGGCCAGCTGTCGCACCACGCCGTGCTCGACTCGGCCGGCCGCGTGCTGCTCTGGTGGCGACCGATCGACGGCGGCGTGCTCTTCCGGCTTCAGGTGGACGCGCTGGGATATGTGGCGCTGGGTGTCTCGCCGGGCGGTGGCATGCGCGGTGCCGACATCGCGGGCCGCCGCGCCCGGCGCAGACGGCCGCATCGAGCTCTGGGACCTGCACGCCACCGGCGAACAGCGGCCGCTCCGCGACGCCCAGCAGGACGTGCGCCTGCTGCACGCCTCGCGCAACGGCACGCACACGGACGTGCTGTTCGAGCGCCGCGACTCGTGCGACGAGCAGGACGTGCCGCTGGCGCTGGACGCGGCCGTGACCGTGATCTGGGCGTACGGCCTCGAGCCGGCCGCCGACGGCGACTGGCTCACCTACCACGGCGCTCGGCGCGGTTCGAAGCTGCTCAACCTGCACCGTCCCGGCGGCACCGAGTTCGAGCCGGGCACGCCCTACCTGGACATCGTGGCGCCGGCCGTCCGGCTGCCCGACGACGCGCGCACCATGTACTATTGCCGCATCACCAAGCTGCCCGCCTTCCCGCGCAAGGTGCATTTCATCGGCTTCCAGGGCCTGATCCAGCCGGGCAACGAGGGCTTCGTTCACCACATCATCGTATACGAGTGCACGGTGCCCGAGTGGCGACGGGACGCGTTTGAGCGGTACGTGAGCGGGCAGCAGGGCGCCCGCTGCTACAGCCCCAACATGCCGGTGGACTGGGGTCGCTGCGGCCACATCCTGGCCGTGTGGGCGGTGGGCGGCAGCGGTGAGCGCCTGCCGCCCGGCGTGGGCATCCCGCTGCGCGAGGAGTACGGCGGCGCCACCTACGTCATGGCCGAGATTCACTACGACAACCCGTCGGTGCAGGCGGGCGTGGTGGACAGCTCGGGCGTGCGCCTGTTCTACACTGAGCAGCTGCGTGACAGCGAGGCCGGCCTGCTCAACGTGGGCCACGACATCGCCGTCACGCAGCTGGTGCCGCCCGGCCAGGCCGAGTACGTGGTGAACGGCCTCTGTCATGCCAGCTGCACGCGCCAGTGGCTGCCGCCGGGCGGCGTGCGCGTCTACTCGGTGCTGCTACACTCACACCTGGCCGGCGTGCGCATGCGGCTGCGCCACGTGGCCGCTGACGGCGCGGAGCTGGCGCCCATCGCCGAGGATCGCGCCTACGTCTTCAACTACCAGCAGACGCGCACGCTGACCGAGCCGGTGCTAGTGCAGCCCGGCGACCAGCTGCTGCTCGAGTGCGTGTACGACACGCGCCAGCGCGGCAACGTCACGTTCGGCGGCCTGAGCGCCGAGAACGAGATGTGCCTGGCGTTCGTGAGCTACTACCCGCGCGTGCCACTCACCATCTGCTGGAGCTCCCCCGACATGGGCCACACCATGCAACAGCTCGGCATCGAGGCCGCCAACGCCTACGGCATGGAGCTGCCCGTGCGCCGCGCGGGCGATATGATCCAGCAGGTGATCAACAACCTGGAGAGCTTCGCGCGCGCCGAGTGGGACCTGTCGGCGCCGCTGGCCGCGGACGGCGCCGGCGAGAGCGTCGTTGACGAGACGGAGCGCCATCTGTACCAGGTGGCGCTGCAGGACCAGCGCATCATGAGCGAGCTACAAGCGGACAACATCAGCGCGCTGGAGGCGCTCGGCATGCAGGACCTGCCCGAGGAGCTGCAAGACCCGTTCCTCATCCTGAAGGACATCCTCGTCATCCAGCCTGCGGTGTTTAAGATGAGCACGCTGTTCCAGTTCCTGTTGCAGTACGGGTGGGACGCGGACGGCGTGCGCCGCTTGCAGGGCGCCGTCACCGACTACTACCGGCCCAAGTGCGTGTCGCGTGACGGCAAGATCCGTACGAGCGAGCGCCAGACGCTGCCGAGCGTGCCGTGGCGCTCGCCGCCGCCGCCGGACCGCTGCGCGCCGGCGCGGCCCAGCCCCCGCCGCGCTCGACCGCCAGCGAGCGCCCAGCGGCGGCGACGGCGACGGCGACGGCGACGGCGGCGGCCGGCGGCGGCGGCGGCGGCGGCGAAGTCGTGACGCCCGAGCAGCCGGCGCCGGCCGGCAGCATCTCCTCCGAGCGGTCGCGCGCAAGCCGCGGCGGTGGCGCGCGGACTTGGGCGTCGCCGGCGCCGCGCCTCTGGACAGCCGGGCTCGTCCTCACGCACTGCATCCGGCGCTGGGCGGTGCTGGTGTGATCTGGCCGAGTGCCGGCCGGCTGCCGCCAGCGGCTGGTCGGCTGCCGAGCCACCGGCAGACTGATGCTGAGGGCCCGGCTGGGACTCGGTGGCCACTGGAGACGCCGCGTGAGGGGCCTCACCACGGCCTCGGTCCACAGGCGGATGAGATCTCAGTGCAGTGCGGACTCGCCGGGGCGGCGAGGAGAGGATCTAATGTGCCAAACGTTAGCGTAGGCGGGCCCCGGCTCGGGGACTCCATCCAAGTGCAGCAAGCATGGCTGCTGTTTCAGTCTTGATAGGGTCCATTGTTGCGCCCTGATTCACAATGGCGCTAGGCTTCCTCGGGTGGGTTTTTAATGCTGGTGTCTCCCTGCGGGGAAACGGTTAGCGTCGTAAACTTGCTGCTTCCTCGAGTTTAACGCAGCCCTTGTCAGGGATTCACCTTGTGCCACGCCGTCCGCGCCAATTGACAGCAGTAGGCAGCTGCCGCGTAATAGCCGTTCGCTTTTGTTTGCCCAAGTGCATATGCCAAGCTCATCTACGCGTGTTTATATCGCGCTTACATGTGGTGTTTTACACATAGATGTTGCGTCAGCGTATTTTGCCGCGTAATCTCGCATCTCAGTCGTCTTGTTTTGTTTTTTTAAAGATATATGGACGCAGATGTTGGTAACGTGCAGAATGCACACTCATCTACGACTATCACTTCTCTTAAATGATGCGTCCCGTGAAAAGAGCTATCTTTCGTAGGTGTTCAAAGATCCGTGGTACGCGCCGATGCCGGCAATGCTCGTGATAGACGGGCGTACGCAGGATTTTGTGACGGGGGAGTAAAAGAAAAATGCGCTGAAAACCAGGTTAGCGTCCCGCAGACGTGCGAGCTTGGATGTATCACGGAAAACAGCATCGCGCGTTTATCAGACTATGTTTAAGGGTCTTCCCGATTTTTTACCGCTAACATTCATGCACACGCATATTGTTGGGGTGTACGTGCCTCGGGAGTCGCTATGTGGGCACACCACTGGTGATATGCATCCGTTTTCCATTTTCGCGACAAATGACGAGATACACAGCATATAACAGGGACGTATCCATTGTTCGCAATGTGGTTGTGACTGTCAGGCTGCGTAGGGTGCACCCATATGCTGAGCCTTGGTGTTCCCCCTTGACTCGCCGATTTTTGGGGTGGGGATGCAGACCAATGTCTCGACTGGAAGACACAGGTGCCAAGCCAGTCATGCTGACCGAAGACTCTATGTTATTAGGTCCGCAGAATGGCCGGTCAGAGTTCCCACCGTTTGATGGCCCAGTGAGTGTCCTTGTAGTAATAAATGGCATGGGAACTGGGCAGGCGCAATGGCCGCCGGCATACGTGGTCGCGTTGCTTTGTCGTGGCGTCCGAACGCTCCGGCTATTAGCGCCATTTCCGGCCGGCTGCAGGAGAGGGCAAAGTTCAAAAGCCAGATTGGAGCTCGGCACGCCGTGCTGACGAAATCCAAGACGATGCCAGCGTGAGGACATGCAGCGTCTGTTAAGAGCCACGCCGCCCTCTCCCCGCCTCGCAGACTCACCGGCGCGCCCGACGGCCCGGCCTCAGAGCGTCCCACGTGACCCTGAACCGGCGGCGGTCGTGGACTCCCGGTAGCCGGTCGAACTGAGAGCACGGCGGGCGCCCGCGGCCACCGCGGCCGGTGGCTCGACACGTCGCCCTGTCCACCGGAGCGGCGGCGCGCCCCCTCCCCGGACAGCCGCGGCCGGTGGCTCGACACGTCGCCCTGTCCACCGGAGCGGCGGCGCGCCCCCTCCCCTGACAGCCGCGGCGGGGCCGGCCGAGGCCGGCAGCCGGATCAGGCTGAGGTCTATCAGCGGCCCTATCGCTTGCCCGCCTTCGCGGAAGGCCAGAGGAAGAGGGAGGGGTGCTGACAGGACGGCGTGGTGACGGTCTGTAGTCCGTCCCGGACCAACAGTACCTGCTGCGGCCAATTATCAACGGCTGGTACTTCTTAACCAGCGTCGCCCCAGCCCATGCAAGGCCGGTTGGCCAACCTGAACCTTCATAACAATCAAGCAAGAAATTTTCAAAGTTAGCTCTGAGATCAGTTTCAGCGGACGAAAATGGCAATAAGTACTGCATCCAATATAATGAGAAGACTTCCTGGCCCTCGTTTTGTAGGCATTACACAGCGGGCGCACAGCAGTGATGGCCATTGTGAATAGTTGTATGTTCTAGGACACGCTTGCGCACTTGAGCGCAAAGCGATTGGCCAAAGTTGTGTACGACTCGTGTTGCCATAATTTATCCCTGTTATTTCAACAATCTTCTTAATTGTCAAAACACTTAATGCAGGTAAACCTTTTCCCATGAGTGACCGCAGCGGTTCCCATACGTTTTTTTTCGAGAGCTATGTCCGAACAGCTTCGAGCATGGTACTGGAATTTTACATAGCTCAGTAAACGCAATCTTTACAAATGTAAAAATGTATAACTTGTAATATTGATGATGCATGAGCTGGAATATTTGTATTGCACATCGGCGTGATGCTGCTCATACGTGACAAATGACGTTTATTTCTCCCAGGAAAGAGATGGTGCATCATTTATATCAAACACATCCTTTTGAAGCGCGTAACTATTGGTTCGCTTGCTTTTGCAATACTAGGTCATCCAAGGTCAAGCTAGGTCAAACTGCGTATTTGTAACCAAATTTGACCAGACTTGAAGATCATATGATTTGAACCGTAACGTATATGCTTTACATCTTTGAAAAGTATGCATAAGGTTGTTTTCCACATTGATGTGGACTGCTTAGTTCTTGATACCTATGACCAGACTGGCCATAGAAGCAAATCACCTTCACCGTACGCGCACAATGGCCTCGACGTGGACGCCTTGTTAGACTCCAAACCACCCAACCGCCTTTACACTTTTGACCTGGCATGAAATATCAACGGTTACACCTGTGAATGTTTGTAGGCGCCAATCTAAGAGAGGTTTGCGAGAGATATTTGATGCCGAGCTATTTTCAGTGTTGCCACGCGTTTGTTTCTTGAGATGACAGGCGGGCGTCTGTAAAGACGCCCGCCTGTCAGCCTGTCAAACCTGATCAGCCAGTCAAAGGTGACCTTTAACAAGATTCATACACGCCTGTTACGGTTGTTTAGGCCGTTTTTTCCCGGGTCTGTCTCTTGTCTTGCTGTAGATATATTGCGGGCTCCTGAGGCACCACTGGCGTTGTCCATGCCTGTGCTACTCGGCCGTGTGGCGCTGACCCGGCCGCCGCGGTTCCCGTGCGAAGGAGCTTAGCGCCAGTGGCCCGATCGGCTCGACCAATCGCGTGTCTCGACCAATCACGCGTGGGGTCAAGTTTCTAAGACAATGTGCGATGACAACAGAACGACAATCCAAGTAACAATGTGCGCTGCACCCGGTCGGCGCGTTGCTCCCGCAGACTGAAGACAAATGCCTTGTTGAAGGGAATGTTTCGCATTTGGAGATATTGAAGTAATCATCCGATATAATGAAATAAGCCCGCTTATAACTATGAGCATGCTTAAAATCGGAAAAAGCTGCTCTTGGCAATATAACTTCTCTGCTTGGTAAACATGCTCCTCAATACGTCATTGCTTGATTGCGTCATCGCATCCTGGGTAACATTGATTGCGAGCCAATGCACGGCTGCCATGGCTGGAAATCGTGTTCACGATCGCTTAATATGAATGACTCGACAATAATGTTTGTTTCGACCTTGAGAGACACGTGGCTAACAGAACGGTAGGATTTGAATGGCAACAGTATGGCGTTATGGTTGCCTGGGCTACCTTGAGAGGGTTTAAGTCTTAAGAAGGACAGGGCTGTGAACTGCACCGAATGATGTTGACGATGACTATTTTAGTTCAAAACCCCCTAGAAATGTGGAACACTTTCTTCAAGCCAACGTAAACCTGGGGGCGTTTTGCATATATTTTTTGTCCGGAATTCCCGGTTGTCTCAGCGGACCGTGAAGGCATCGTGTTTTTTTTTATTTTTGACGCACTGAGATCCTTTCGAACACGGGAAACTTCTGAGTGGCCTTGTCGCAAATTGCGCCCTATCATTGCCTGTCAACTGCTGCTTCACAGATTCCAGATCCGAATTCACCTCACGCACGGCAAACAGTTCATAGGTACAAGCCCCCAAACCGCCCAGGGATGCAAAAACACTGGAAAACAAAGAGGATCGCGGATTAATGAAAGCGATGGGTCGCCGGCCAAAGACCGACCAATACTTACACAGACTCGTGTAAGCAAACTACTACTATCACAAACATCAGCATGGTGAGACGGAGAGGCACGTCACGGTCAGGGTCCGATCGCCATGTTAAATACGTCTGGAAGGTCTCGTTTGCTTAATGTTGATGTCCATGCAATGTCATTGGGAATCATTCCAGTACTGACTGGGTGCACCCTGAACTGCCCCTCCCCCCCCCCCCCCGCCAAACATACAGTCGGCACGTTCAAGCGCGCACCGGCGGCAGACAGTCCTGGCTGCGCTATCAGGGGTGACACAAGCTTTTTTGGACACTGCTAGGTACGATCATTGGCAAATTTATTCGACATTCCAAGGAACGTGTGCAAAATGCTGAGCTCATTTGCAACCCACAGGCGCGATATTTGGCGATATGCAACGGGCGATAAGTTAAAATTACATTTAATGAGATGTGGTCACTTCTACGCCCGGCGCAGGTCGACCAAATTTGCGCCGAGTCTTTGACCTCTAATTTTTAAAACCTTTAATCGATTTCACCTTACCAGCGCACCTTTAAGCTGATGTGCATTCCAGCGAAATGATTGGCGAACCAACCCAGTGAAGCCCGTGCCGTCTTGCTGGAGCCACCCCCTGCCCCGACAGATCCCGTGAAGCCGTCTGAACGCCGCCCAAAAAGGTATCAGTATGGTAGCGATGTGTCGCTCCGCTGTCGTGTGTCGTGCTGACAGGATACTCATCCTCGCCCGCAAAGCATCGTGTGCAAATCTCGAACTGACGAATGTCTGATGCGACTGATAATTAGCATTGTTCTTGCATCATGTTTCGCAATTGAATGGTCATGTAAATGCTACCGGCCTTCATAATGCGAGAAATGGACTTGTCGCTGTTGAGTAAAACATACGTTTTTATCTGAACAACCCTGCGTAGTAGGCGGCTCTACACGGGTGCCGACTGTTTATTTCATATTTCTAAAACTCCTGTGCCACCCTTACCCACGCGTCACAGCCAGGATACCTGGTTCAGTGCTGTGTATCCGTCTCCACGGAAAATAAGGAATACGTTAACACATTTACAGTTCTAGGACTGGAGGCCTAGCAAATGCACACACCGCTACCCATATTTGGGGTATGAGGATTGTCTCTCAAGCAGCCATGGGGCGTGCGGCACTGCAATGTGATGTGGTTGGAGTAAGCATGTGCTTCTCAAAGAGTTCGTCCTCTGGAGACATATCTGGGATAACCACCCACTCTGAACAGCGCTGGTCTAGTGAGTCCCGACCCAGTCGTATGTCGGACTAACGGCAGCACTTTGCAGCGGGAGCTTAACGTGCCGAAATGCGCTGCATTCCGTCCTGCCCTCTGACGTTACGTGGCCACTAGCGCAGCCGCTGCCGCCGGTCGCAGGCTATCCTAGTCAGAGATCAACAGTCAACGTCTAACGCGGCGGAGCCTACAGATTTATCTAAATCTAAGGACGATTTAAAAGACAGTTCGGCGGCTGTAGCTTCCACTTGATTGCATCATCAGGAAGGGCGTCGAGGAATAGAACAGTCACATTTCGTACGGCGTGTGCAAGCGAGGCATGTTGGGTTAGGCAGCATACTTTCTAGAACTATGCTTTCTCTTGTCTTTACGACCAACCATAAACATAAAAGTGCTCGTTCTCAGTATCCTCATAACCGCTCCAAATTGAAAGTAAAGCGCTCAAAGCGCTGCGAATAGTTAAGCTCTCGTAAGGATGCCCGCCGCACTCAAGACATCTGGCCTTCTGTCTACAGGTCTTGCTATGCCCAAAACATTGGCAGTTGAAGCATGGAATTGTGACATCCTGACTGCGTACCGGAGATAACCGCCTGAGGGCCTCTCGGAATCGCGTGGTTTCCAGAATCAGATCGGGCAGGGTGGTGTCTCGATGATGTCCATCTCGGAGAGGTTGGCTGTCGGACGTGCCGCACGTTCCCCGTTGAGTCCCGCCGAAATCTTCCGACCCATCATACAACGGAGCCCACGAGCAAAGACCGTACCTGTTGGACGTTGCACGCATGCCGGACAAGTTTTGACCGCCTCGCTACAGAATTCATTAGTTTCGACGTAGCCATTACTCTGTGCACGATTGATGATTCCATTCCTAGTGAGCTATTGACTGGCGCTTCCATTGGCTGATGGTGTGGGTCGCAGATTTTCTGAATTTGTATGAATTGCCAAAAGACACAGATTTTTGCACAATGAAACATTCTCTTTACATGGTTGCACGACCCCGGTGTGTCCAGTGCAGGCTCAGGGTGGTGGTCACTGGTCCCTTCCTCCTTCCGTACTTCACCAACTGGGAAGCGGGAAAGGACGGACAAGAGGTGAAGTATAAATCTGTTTAGAGAAGATGAGACACCTAAACGGATGAAAACGACGATGAAAAAGCAGTAACTCCTGGCAATATGCCACAACACGAGAGAACCTCCGACCTGGGTCCTGCCAAACACGCGCCCATGGATCGGATTAGGCAGCGGGGTTTCCCGCTCGATAAAATTTATTGACATGAAGCGAGTTGGCCTGTCCATACCGTTTCACTCGGCATAACGGCTAGGTGTACGTATACCACCTGCCTATCTCTCTAGGCCCGTGGTTTTTCTGTCATTCGCGGACAAACGAAGATCAGACTGGCATTCACTGGCTGATTGGATGATAAGCACAAAAATGTCCACTACAAGCAATGCGGAAATTAATTATAAAACACACAGTTCACGTACTTCAGCCATAGCGCACTCGCCGCAGTAGGCACATGACACACAGCGATGGCATTCAGGCGCGAGCGACTTTTGAAACGCTCGCAGACAGGAGCGTCCTGTGGCGTTGTTTGACGTTGTTTTACGTATTCATTGAAATTTCATGACTATTCGCTTTGTTTCCCAAAAATATGTGGAAGTGTGAGTTCATAAAATATGTGGGAGTGTGATTTTTGTGTGAGTGGTTGAGTCGTGGGGAAAAATCTATAAATCTTGCGTCTATACCTTGGGCATAAGAATGTTTCCTCCTGGTGTGTAAATGCACAAAATCACGTCAGCTGTGTTCAATATCAGATACGACGGTTAACTCATTACCTAAAAAAGAGGCTAACTTCATTATCACCCCTAAGAGTGGAAGAAGGCTCAGCACCTAAGTACGGCTCGTTCGTTGCCCCAGTAGCCACACCAGTAGCTACACACTGAACTAAATGAATTCCTCTTAAACATATTATAAACCGCTCCCCTTAGACACCATCACCACTACTTTAATTGCTCTACAACCTACTCATTACAATAGGTAGCCTGCATCAATGCTAATCACAGCTGTAGAAAGCCCGGGCATGAAATCCACTCAGTCATAGAGTGCCATTAGTTGCACCCAGTGCGCGGGCGTACTCCCTCGCGCCAGCGCTCTGGACTGTCAGGCGCGGCAGCCAGGCCTGGGTCGGCAGCACACGTGTTACTTGGTGGCCACCCCATACAGGATCGGGTTGATGGGGTCGATGCCCGGTTGAGGCTTGGAACGCGGCTTCATCTTGTTCTCGACCAGAAACACAGAGTGGTGCTCCATAGTGCTGAAGCCGCCTGCCAGCAGCTCCTGTTAACAGGAAGCCGGGCGATGAACGCACCGGGCACATGGAGGCAGCGTCAGAACGACCGTGAACTATCCCCCCCCCCCCCCCCCAGAGCCGCAGCCATCGGTACACAGGCTAGCATAGTGCGGCGCGCCTGACTTCGATGTCACCTTTTTCATTCTCGCTCCCACAAGCGTTGTTTTGCAGTAGATGAAAGCTTGAAAATAAACTGTTTCCCGTATACGTCGTATCCCGATAATCGATTCACAACACTCTTCATTCCCCCCCCCCCCCCCCCCGGAGTCCCGATTCACCAGCCTCATGATCATCCCCCAGGAGTTTCTATTCGAGACTTATCATCCGCCTCCCCTCCAGGAGTCTCGATTCACGAGCCTCATCATCCACTCCCCCCCCCCCCCCGCACCATCTACTCACCGACCCCTGACGGGAGCCGGGAGCTCTCCACCACAGCCTGCCAACTCCCGTCCCCGGCCACGGAAGCCTATCCTTTGGGTGCCCATGCTGTGCCCCGCCTCTGCCCCCGCTCACCGCCTCCAGGTCGCAGTTGGCCATGCAGCCGCCGTACAACATGGGCCACAGACCACTGTCGGAGACCGCGTTCTGAAAGCGACGCCGCCACGTTCCCGGCTCGTCTCCAATGTGCTCAAGGAAATAGAACCTGCCACCCTGCGGAAAAGGTATAAACTCAGGTTATGGGGCGCGTTGACAGGTGGCAGCTCAGGACCACCTGTTTAAAACACCGGTCGCATCTGACATGTGCAAGCATGCAAACATCAGCTGTGCCTCTGTTCAGAGCATGGTTCGCTTGCGCTAGGCGAGTAAGCCGCATAAGGCCTCCCAAGTTGAAAGCAACCCTCCGTGCAGGATTAGCAGTTTACACTTAATAACGCCCCTTCCCTCCTATTCACAACAATGGCCAGGGTACTTTAAAAGCATCCAACGACACGTGGAAAGCTACATGGAAAAACATGCATTCGCCGTCAGCGTGTTGGACTGCTCCGAGGCGTCCTCGTTTGCAAGGATGCACAAGAGGTGTGGTCAGGTGAGAGCAGGAGGGCAGAGACTTCACGGTCACGTCTTTTCTGGCGTAGAGAGCAGTACCACTGGCCCACGCCGCGCCGCTTTGGGGAATGGGGAGCCCCATGGACCACCTCGACCACTACTAACACAGATCAGCCGTCGTCGCTCCAAGCACCCCTCCTGCCCACACTCAGAATGACCGTCCGGCCGGGCCGACGCGTTACGCCCGGCCTCCGTACTGACCGGCACGAGGACGCGGAGAATCTCCCGCAGCATCTGGTCCACGTGCGCGACGCTGCAGAGCACGACCGTGACGACGACTACGTCCACCGAGCTGTCGGCCACCGACGGCATCGACTCGCCGCGCTCCGCCACAAACCGGATGTCCGGGTCCAGGTGCGCCGCCTTCTGCTCACACTCGCGCCGGAAGTAGGCTTCGAACGCTGCGTTCGGGTCGACGCTGAGCAGCCGCGAGCCGGCCGGGTAGTACTCGAGGTTGGTGCCCGTGCCGACACCCACCTGCCGCGGTATTACAGGGCGGAGGGGAGAGGGGGAGGGATGAGGGTGTTAATAGCGTCTCGCCGCGCTGCCGCAGCTCATACGGGGATGGTGGCTGTAGCCAACGCACTCAACAACAGATGCTTAGATGAGGACACTGTTCAGCCGAGGGTCACTGCGCACGTGGTTTGAGCACACGCACAGCGAGTTTTGTCTTAACATCAAGATAAATGTCCTACCTCTAGAATATTCAACGCATTCTTCTTTTGCATCTCCGGATCCGCCGATTTCACTTCTTTCAAGCTGGAGAAGAGCTCCTTCTTGGTACTTTCAAAGAGCACCTTCTGAGCGTCCTTTATCGAGGAGTTCATCATCATGGCAAAGATCATATCCCTGAATGCTTGGATACGAGCAGGTCCAAAAGCTACATTGGCCACGACGGTGATTAACAAAAGCCACCCCAATATGGAAGCGATGCAGCTCAGGAGACAATACATCCAGCACCACATTTTGGCAGCGTGATATCTGAAAGAAGGCGAACGCGTTAACCAACAGGGACTTGTGCAGAGTAAGGATGTTCGTTCAGATAACATCAAGGTTCTGCTGGTCCTCGTACATGGGGCAGATACCAAAGACCTAACGTTCTCATTTGAAACTGCCTTTGTATACAGAATTTCCGCTATGGTCACAGCGTGTGCATGACCCAACCGAGATCCACGATCAACCGAGATCCAAGATCCCAAGATCCATGATCTTCCGAGGTCCGAGATCCCGAGATCCGCCCACGCCGCACACCTGGTGGACATCGGCAGGGAGCGGCTCTCAATGTAACATGCTTGTATAGCTCGCTCGTCAGTGTTGGCTTCCCATTCTCGGACTTGTCAAATGGCGGGAACAGATCAGAGGAGGCACCCTGGTCGCCCTGGTTGATGGCTGAGAGTATTTAGGGGCAGATACGGCTGACTTTCTCCTCTCACAGCAAGGAGATGGTGTGCACAGCTTTTTCGGTTGAAAATGTGTGAAACATGCCACGTACCTAATGCTACATCGAGAAGTGACCGACTGGTCGTTTTAATCTAGTATATCTGCTGACGCAAACCACAAATGTCATGCCCACACGCTGGGGCGGAGTGGGCGTAACGTCGGAGCGCAGTGCGGACGGCTGCCCACTTCCCCAGCCACCGTCTGCTCACTGCAAGGGATTCCGCAGTCCCGTCCAACAGTTGCTCGACGGAGTCGCAATGTTTTCAGCAGTTATTAGCATTACGGTCGCCTCAAATGTTTCACACTTCTTTGTCCGGATTGCGGTCGGCGTCATTTCGGCAGAAAATGTCCCTCCGATCCGCTAAAGACGCGCAGAACCCAGTGGTACGTCCTCACCGCCTCATCCTGAATTCTCACCGCTTTATCTCGAGCCCTCGCAACACGTCATCGTCTCTTGAGCGGGCAAGTTACGGCCGCTAGCAACGAACAGGTTCAAACACCGCCGTGACGGAAGCCCAAGCCGACCGCCCACATGTACTCCAACGACGGCTTCCTGCGCCGTAAGTCTGGGTTACGGAGGACTCCTAGACAGCTGCAGTCTCGTCCATCGCTCGCCTCTCTCCACCATCATGCAGCCGTGGAATAGTCCGTGCTGGACGAGAGGGCTCTTAGCCCAGCCAAGCCATGTCAGACCAAACGGCTCGCAAGCGGGCAGCAGTTTCGCTCTGGGGCGCGCCGACTGGGTTGAACATATCGTACCAGCTTCCATATGGTACGCCGGGTTCAGTTATCAAGTACAGTCGTTCCCACGTCACATATAGTCAAAGTCTGGTGCTCGCCAACAGCTTCACAAGTAATTCATGAACCGCTGCTCGTTTGCGGCTTCGCCGACGACCGGCCAGCAGTTCGCGCTCAGTTTGCGAATTGTTCGTGGACGCAAATGCATTATTCCTCGCTTCAACTGGAGGTAGTAAATACGCTGTATATATCAACACGTGTTTCATTTTTGTTTCGGAAAAGCAGAGGCTCAAATTTCATTTCAACCTTTTAGAACCGTTCTACACGTCGTGACGAAAGCACACTTTTTTATCCAGTAGTTGAAGGTGAACCAATTTTATGTCAGCATGACGATGCATACTTAATGGCTCCAAAGCGTCACACGAAAATTGTCCCTGCCTTCGAAATAACTTCACGTATTGTACAGTAGGGAAGGGAAAAAGTAAGCAAATATCACCTGGAATTTTCGGTACTTTGAAACATTGCAACGAGTGAAGTAGCTCGCCAGTAGCTCGCCAGTGCTCGTCAGCACTTTGGCTGAAAACTGATCTTCACTGGCTCAGAGCCAGCTGCCGTTACTGAGACCCGACGACTGTGTTTGAGATCGTCTGCTTCTTCGATCCAAGTCCACGCGCGTTCGCGTCTTGGCCCTTTCTCGTGGCGTTCTTACATATTTGTCCGTGATTTTGCACTGTTTATTTCCATTCACATACGCAGTTATGGGGTCGTTCTTAAGGTTTTGATTCCCAATCTTATTTCGGTCATAACTCGTACCACGGTTCAACTTCCTGCATCACGCAGCAAAAAAAAAAAAGCGATTTGCGTTCAAAACTTCCACTGAGCGTATAACATCGGTTAGTGCTACTATGCTGACGTGCGACAGACACGAATAACTCGGTGAGCATAGCCTTCTTGGCCAAGATCATAACTTCCTAACAACTTACCCTTTGATAAAGTTTAAAAGGCACCAAATGTTTCAAATACTTTCACAATTATTGCAAGGACACCCTGGATATCTGAAGATCTTTTGAAAAGATAAAAACATGCTGCATCTCATAACCTCATTTTTCATAAAAACAAAAACCCACAGTTAAAATATCCCATGTAACAGAAAATCCTTTGGCACCTCTATGAACTTGCAAGTTCTGAATAAAACAGATCTACCAGATCCAAGTATAATCTCTGGCATAATTCATGCATGCACAGGTAAACCAGTGAAGCAGGTTGCACATCAGGTGCCATATGTAATCCCACACAGGTGGGGCAAGGTGCCCCGAGATTGTGCCCAAAGGTCAGCTGAGCATTGCGTGTGCTGGGCTGGCAGCCAGCAGACAGCTGTAGCTAACATACAGCTAAGGGAACTGGGAGTTTGGAGAACATGTGGCACAGATGCAACACAAACCATCAAATATATATTTCTTATTTTTCTTAACTATTGTAGGTCAGCAACCAGCAAAACTTCACTTTACAGCACACTAGTGATGAGATACCATCATGTTAATTTTAAGTTTGAGATACTTTTGGAATTAAAGCTTGGAAAGCTCAGATGCAAGAATTGCAAAAACTCAGAAAACCTGCTGGCTTTTGGGGAAAATGAAGTGTGATTCAAATAGTTAATATTCCAGACATTCACCTGCTCAACTACCTAACACAGCTCATTATAGCCAACATTGCTGGCAGTAGAATGTAACAGCATATCTGGATATAATATTTGTATGCATTTATTTCATACTTGGTACAAATCAAAACAGCAAAAGCAAACAGCAGCTGATGGTGAAGAGGAATACACTGATTTGTGCCCTTTTTAGTATAAATCTTCCATGAACTTAAGCTTGGCAACATGTTTTGGCAAACAAAACACCTATAGCAACACACTGAGCCTGTTTGATGCATTGACAGTGCAATTCACTACCCACAGTCACCTACCAGGTGCATGGATAGCCAATACCAGATGCAAGGAGTCTTATTTAAATAGGTAGGAATGCCACTCAGATTTTGTCAGGCAACAACATCTAGTATTTGGTCAACAACTTACACCAAGGTGTGGGGCTCTTGCTCTGCCCTTCTGTTTCTACATACCTGTCTTGATGGCTGTTGTCATACAGCTATTAATATATAAGTAATAATAATATAAATAAGAAAACTCTTGAAGACAAGCTGTGATCTCATAACAGCATTTTTGCATGTACAAGTGCTAAATTTCCAATCTGCAAGCTACCATGGGAGGATAACAGGCAATTTGAACTAGGAAACATTCCCAAAGTCCCCTCCCCAGATCTATAGTTACACCCATGAGGCAGACATGGGTGCAAGCCAATTGGCAAAACTAATGGTATCACTTTCACCATCACATTATCCTTCAGTAGGCTGTCACTTAGTTGTATTTCACAGCTGATAAGCTTTGCACAGGCTCAAATAATCAAACATTGTCATGAGCTAAAGATGCAAGACTCAGTATTTTGCTTTGTAGTTAATTGCAATCACCACAAACATTTAAAGGTTGTGAATGGCCCCTGAATGGAGTGTTCAAATAGAGCAACCCAATGCATATTATTTTGTTTGTACCATAAGATTACATGGTGCTTGCACACTCAATGCAATTTCACTAAGCTTTGGCTTAGTGACTTTTTTACTCAAACTTTAAATGGACCTCAAATAACCCCTCTTTTGAGCTTACGGACACATACAGTGTTATTTGATGCCAGCCAAAACCTCTTAGCAGTAAGACTGTAGCTTTGTGCAAATTATATATCAGTCATACTTCTTATGTTGATCATTGAGGAGTTCCCAACAATCACCTATGAATGTGGTGACATAACGTTAATAAACAGAGGAGGCATAACATCTAACATCATCTTTAATGGAACGCATTTTGTTGGAAACCTGAAAACGACGTCTGCGTGGAGAGTACCGGCCCACGCACGCACCTCCCCAGAAGTGCCACCATAGCAATCAACGCCCAAATGCCTGCAATATTTCTCACCGTTCGCCGTGCCTTGGATAGACACCGTAGATCAAATGCCCCAGAGCAATAAGCTTATCGCCCGCACGGCCCTGTCGCGCTGCTGTCACCCGACCCCGGGGCAGCGTACGATCGGTCAGGGTGTACTTTCCTACCTAACGTTAGAAAAAATCATTGTACACCATTCGTCGTGTTTAAGGCATGACATATCGTAAATAATCTCAATACAGGTAGAATCATGCTCCTACCTTCGAATTTCAATGACTTCGATGGCGGGCCCCCGAGCGCCGCGCGCACCGTACCGCCTGGACTCCCCAGCGCCGTTTCCGCGTTGCCGTTGCGTAAATAAAATATTTCTGCGTACCAAGAACTGTACAAAATGTACGGGACCAAAGTAAACCATTCGTCATGTTTAAGGCAGGACAACCATAACCTAACTGCGAACCATAAAAATATTTACTAAACATAAACCATATTTACCATAACCATATTTACGATATAAACCATATTAACTGCGAACCATACTATAAACCATAACTATAACTATAAACTATACTATATAAACCATACTATAACTATAAACCATATTTACTGCGAACCATAAAAATGTACCGGGACAAGGTAGCAAGAATCCATGAAATTTGATCCTCGACTGCCAACGGGACCATGGGTTGCAGGGGGATTGGGTGGGGAATGTAAATGATGGTCTCAGAGGCACCAGCATGGTTCTTCCGGTTGCCTCTGGACCTACAACAAGCCCAAGTGAGAACTCCAGGGGCACTGAAGCGGGATTTCCCCCTTTATTGGACCCTGCTGGTGAGGGTATTGTGGGTCACCCCGCTCAGGGTCCCAGGGGTTCTGGGGGCCCTGACAGGACTGATAGCAAAACAGTAACCTCAGTCACTCGGGATGGATCCATGGATGAACATACTCAGGCTCAGGCTGATGCTGGTTCCCCAGTCCACAATAAGTACATAACGCTCCTCAGTGCAGGGGTAGGCAATGTCTGAAAATATTGTACACCAATGCAGACCAGATCCTTAGTAAAGTAATAATTTATGTATGCTTATTACTGACGATGAGTCAAATATCATGCTGTTGACTGAAGCCCTTCCCAAAGCCCAGAAGTTTCCTATTGCACGATCTCTCTTATACATTTCCGGCTACACCCTGTACACAAACTTCAATCTCTCAGCCCAACCTTGGATCTAGTGGTGGAAGAGGCATATGTGTCTATGTGTCCAACTTACTAAATGCAGCTGAGCACTCATTTGGGTCAAGTCCTCTGGAGCAAGTGTGGCTGAAGATGGCCTTGAGTGGGAAGGATGCCCTGTTACTTGGCTGCATATACAGAAGTCCATCAGGCAACATCCAGGACAGTGTGAGCCAACTGGAAGACCTTCTTCAGAAAGCATGCAGAGCCCAGTTCTCTCACGTGATGGTTGTAGGTGACTTTAACTTGCCTCAGATCGACTGGGCAACAGAGCGGTCGTCAGCTCCAGAGAGTCACCCAACCCACTCTTTGATTGACACCATTCAGGGCTGTTTCTTGTTTCGGCATGTCCGGCAGCCAACACGCTACCGGGTTGGTGAAGCTCCTAGTGTCCTGGACCTAATTTTCACAAATGAGGAGGGCATGGTGAGCCAAATCAAATACCTGCCAGGGCTAGGTAACAGTGACCATGTGGTTATCAGGTATACTTTGGTCTGCTACTCTGGGCTACAAACCCCTCGTCCCAGCCAGCTGACACACACAAATTACGAGCATCTGGCTGACACCCTCAGGTCAATGGACTGGTCCCTGATGGAGAGCCTCAGCCTCGAAGATGGTTACAAGTTCTTCAAGGAAAGAATCGCCAGGGCCACTGAGGTTTGCTCCGTCAGGAGAAAGGCCAAAGCTAAGAAGAATTTATACATGAACCCAAGGGCCATGCAACTAAAGAAGGCTAAGGAAAGACTATGGCGAACGTACACGCGGACTCAGGATGATTCTGGACCATGCCAGGTTTGTGCGTTGTCGCAATGACCTGCGGAAGTTGACCAGGTACCTTCGGAAAGAGTATGAGATTAAATTATTAGCAGACATCAAAAGAGACCCCAAGGCCTTTTGGAGGTACGCCAACTCTAGACTACGCACAAGATGCAGGATAGAAGACCTTCTTGACGATGATTGAGTGCTGACCAGCAGTAGCGAAGGGAAGGCAAACGTCCTCTGTAAGTTCTTCGCCAGCGTTTTCACGGACGAAGGGACTAGTGCCATGCCTGTGTTACCGTGTAACTTTACTGGACCGTTACTGGATGACGTGGTCATCTCTACCCAGCAGTGGCAAGGAAACTGGCCGCTCTGAAGTCCTCGAGCACCCCTGGGCCAGACGATCTCCATCCAAGGCTTCTTCGCGAGTCCGCAGATGCCCTGGCAGCACCCCTCAGCATGCTTTACCGAAAATCTTTGGCATCCGGAAGGCTCCCTCCGGAGTGGAAGCTTGGCGAGGTGGTCCCGATTTTCAAGAAGGGTGACCGACAATCTCCGGCGAGCTACCGCCCAGTGAGCCTTACTGCTATTCCCTCCAAGATACTCGAAACTTTCGTCCGTGATGCCCTACTTAATCACTTCTCAGAGTCTGGACTTCTTCATGCGGCCCAGCATGGGTTTCTCCCTAAGCGGTCCTGTACCACCCAGCTGTTAGAGGTTATGGAGGATTGGAGCGCCGCGGTAGAGGATGGAGAACCGGTGGACGTGGCGTATCTGGACTTCAGCAAAGCCTTTGATTCTGTTCCCCATAACCGTCTGCTCTCCAAGCTTCATGCTTACGGTGTGAGAGGTAATTTGCTACGCTGGATCAGGGCTTTTCTTACTCATCGGATGCAGAGAGTGCGGGTCCAGGGCATCGAAGTCGGACTGGACCGACGTCGTCAGCGGCATCCCGCAAGGGTCAGTACTTGGACCAACGCTGTTTATTATTTTCGTGAACGATCTACCAGAGCAAGTGCGAAGCGTGGTCAAGATGTTTGCGGATGACACCAAGGTCTACTGTCGTGTCCCGAGACCCCTGACTCACTCACCTCTGCAGGCTGACCTCGACGCCCTGGCCAAGTGGTCAAAGGAGTGGCTGCTCCCCTTTAGTGCAGCAAAGTGCAAAATAATGCACATCGGGAACTGCAACCCGAGGCTGACGTACTTCTTGGACGGTGCCGAAATCGCGGTCGAGTCCACCGAAAAGGACCTCGGGATCTTCGTGGATTACCGGCTCCAGTTCCACGTGCAGACCGCGGAAGCGATCTCCAAGGCCAACCAGATGCTGGCGGTCGTGAGGCGGTCTTTTGCCAATATCGATGCTCGCACCTTGCCATTGCTTTTTAAGATCTTAGTACGTCCGTACTTAGAGTATGGCAACGTTATCTGGGGCCCGTTCGGCAGACTGGACCAAAAACGGCTGGAACGAGTTCAGCGACGAGCTACCCGGCTTGTCTATGAAGTGAGGCGCCAGCCATACCCTGAGAGGCTCAGACTCCTTCAGCTGCCCTCACTGTACTATCGTCGTCGCAGGGGAGACATGGTAACAGTGTACCAGCTATTTCATGGAGGCATGTCGCTATCGGAAGAGGAGTTCCTGACAAGGCACAACTCGGAGGTGACGAGAGGACACCAATGGAAGCTCAGAAAACCTCGAGCTAGGACTCTCGTCCGTCGCAACTCGTTCAGCACGCGGGTTGTCAACGACTGGAACGCTCTTCCGCACCCGGTCGTGTCGTCGACCTCAGTTGAACAGTTCAAGGCTAGGCTTGATACGCACTGGGCTGACATCATGTACGACGTCCCACACTGAATATTCCTATAATTTGAGACTGCTTGGTTACCGGACCGGGAGCCTGACGAGACCGGGACCTACAGGCCTAGTGGCCTTTTACAATTCCCGATCACCATAAGGTAAGGTAAGGTAAGGCAAAGCAAAATGAGAACATGGCAGCTAAATAAAAGCTCACTATATGGCACCTATATATGGCATGGAACATGGATGCCAATGAGATGCTGGGTTGAAGGGGATATAGGGTGGGGAGGTTAGGTTAGGTTAGGTTAGGTTAGGTTAGGTTAGGTTAGGTTAGGTTAGGTTAGGTTAGGTTAGGTTAGGTTAGGTTAGGTCAGGTCAGGTCAGGTCAGGCTAGCTTTGCTTAGCTTAGCTTAGGTTCTGGTCTAGTAGTAGGTTAGGTAGTAGTTAGGTTAGGTTAGGTTAGGTTAGGTTAGGATATGTTCTGGACTATTCTGGCCTGCGTGTTTCATAAATGTACCTAAACTCGATAAGAAACGATTTTGGTTGCTTTATTATTGTTACCCTTGGTCCCGTACATGTTTTATGTTCTTGATAAGCAGAAATATTGTGCTTTCGCAACAACGTAGAAACGGCGCTTGGAAGTCGAGGCAGTGCGGTGCAGGTGCGTGCAGCGCTCGGGAACTCGCTATCGTATTTATTAAAATTCGAGGGCGGGAGCATGATTCTATCTGTTTTGAAATTATTTACGAATATGTTCCGCCTTAAACATGACGAATGGTTTACCTTGGTCCCATACATTTTGTAGAGTTCTTGGTAAGCAGAAATATTGTATTTACGCAATGGCAACGCAGAAACGGCGCTAGGGAATCCAGGCGATGCGGTGCGCGCGGCGCTCGGGAGCTCGCCATCGAAATTATTAAAATTCGAAGGTAGGAGCATGATTCTACCTGTTTTGAGATTATCTACGATTTGTGCCGCCTTAAACACGACGAATGGTGTGCAATGATTTTTTCTAACGTTAGGTAGGAAAGTACACCTACACCATACGATCCCTCAGCGCACGTGCTGAGGCTCTGGTGGTCATCACACAGAGCAGCGGGAGTCCCCCACTTGTTGACGTTTTCAGCGCTGGTGCTACAATCACGCATCAGTCTGAAAAATCCATTGTTTGCTGTATTCTTGTAGGGAGTTCCGGGTGCGTGGGCGGAGGCAAGGCCATTGGGCGGAGGCACTGGATCGCAGCTGACCGGTGTTGTTTGTTTCCTCTCTGCTGCGTTGTCAGGTAGATAACACTTGCGTCTTTGCGCGAATTCCCTGACTTTTCCATATTTTTCCCTGCTTTCTAGCATGACTCTTTCATTAAGGTTCTCAGGGTTTAATGGATGAACCCCATGGGCTTGCTGTGATGCCTGACGTTTCGAGCTACATGTCCTGACCAAACGTGGATGGCGTAGCGACTTGAATGGGGCGAATTCGCTGCTTGTAATCATTAATCTAAGTACTGTAGTTTCTGGTATGGTCACAAGTTACCACTAGTAAAGTGCATAGATGCAATGTTTTAAGGAATCAATATGCTATAAGTGATGAGCTAAGGCAAAGCCATTTGTGAAGCAAAGTTCAGGTAAAGTTAAGTTGATAGCTAAGTTTAGACTGAAGGGAGCCTTGCTAAAAATTTATACCTTGCTAACATCAACACATTGTGCATCAATCATGTTCTGTTTATGAATGATGTTGATGGTTATCATAACTAAATTTAAAACATAAGGGATTAAAACATTTCCAGAATTGAAAGAATGCACTGTCAAGTGCTGCAAACATTTTTCCCTGCAATGATACATGTTATTTACATGATCCTGATCCTCCCAACTGACCTATACATCCCAACCATACCTAGAGATGTAACATAGGTCAGCCAGATCACTGACTCAGCCGGCACCATGTATAGTATTGTCAATTACTGCATCTAAAAATGTATGTGGTCTTTGTGATAAAGCACAGCAATGACATTTTCAAATGCCATGATAACTAAGTGATTGTGCACCTGGTGGTCAAATTTAATTTGTATATGATGACATTATGATTTATCTACAATACCTGACCTAACCTAACTTAACCTACCCTACCCTAACCTACCCTAACCTAACCTAACCTAACCTAACCTAACCTAACCTAACCTAACCTAACCTAACCTAACCTAACCTAACCTAACCTAACCTAACCTAACCTAACCTAACCTAACCTAACCTAACCTAACCTAACCTAACCTAACCTAACCTAACCTAACCTAACCTAACCTAACCTAACCTAACCTAACCCAACCTAACCTAACCTAGCCTAGCCTAGCCTAGCCCAGCCTAGCCCAGCCCAGCCCAGCCCAGCCCAGCCCAGCCCAGCCCAGCCCAGCCCAGCCCAGCCCAGCCCAGCCCAGCCCAGCCCAGCCAGCCCAGCCCAGCCCAGCCCAGCCCAGCCCAGCCCAGCCCAGCCCAGCCCAGCCCAGCCCAGCCCAGCCCAGCCCAGCCCAGCCCAGCCCAGCCCAGCCCAGCCCAGCCCAGCCCAGCCCAGCCCAGCCCAGCCCAGCCCAGCCCAGCCCAGCCCAGCCCAGCCCAGCCCAGCCCAGCCCAGCCCAGCCCAGCCCAGCCCAGCCCAGCCCAGCCCAGCCCAGCCCAGCCCAGCCCAGCCCAGCCCAGCCCAGCCCAGCCCAGCCCAGCCCAGCCCAGCCCAGCCCAGCCCAGCCCAGCCCAGCCCAGCCCAGCCCAGCCCAGCCCAGCCCAGCCCAGCCCAGCCCAGCCCAGCCCAGCCCAGCCCAGCCCAGCCCAGCCCAGCCCAGCCCAGCCCAGCCCAGCCCAGCCCAGCCCAGCCCAGCCCAGCCCAGCCCAGCCCAGCCCAGCCCAGCCCAGCCCAGCCCAGCCCAGCCCAGCCCAGCCCAGCCCAGCCCAGCCCAGCCCAGCCCAGCCCAGCCCAGCCCAGCCCAGCCCAGCCCAGCCCAGCCCAGCCCAGCCCAGCCCAGCCCAGCCCAGCCCAGCCCAGCCCAGCCCAGCCCAGCCCAGCCCAGCCCAGCCCAGCCCAGCCCAGCCCAGCCCAGCCCAGCCCAGCCCAGCCCAGCCCAGCCCAGCCCAGCCCAGCCCAGCCCAGCCCAGCCCAGCCCAGCCCAGCCCAGCCCAGCCCAGCCCAGCCCAGCCCAGCCCAGCCCAGCCCAGCCCCAGCCCAGCCCAGCCCAGCCCAGCCCAGCCCAGCCCAGCCCAGCCCAGCCCAGCCCAGCCCAGCCCAGCCCAGCCCAGCCCAGCCCAGCCCAGCCCAGCCCAGCCCAGCCAGCCCAGCCCAGCCCAGCCCAGCCCAGCCCAGCCCAGCCCAGCCCAGCCCAGCCCAGCCCAGCCCAGCCCAGCCCAGCCCAGCCCAGCCCAGCCCAGCCCAGCCCAGCCCAGCCCAGCCCAGCCCAGCCCAGCCCAGCCCAGCCCAGCCCAGCCCAGCCCAGCCCAGCCCAGCCCAGCCCAGCCCAGCCCAGCCCAGCCCAGCCCAGCCCAGCCCAGCCCAGCCCAGCCCAGCCCAGCCCAGCCCAGCCCAGCCCAGCCCAGCCCAGCCCAGCCCAGCCCAGCCCAACCTAACCTAACCTAACCTAACCTAACCTAACCTAACCTAACCTAACCTAGCCTAACTTAACCCCTATTCCTACTCCTATGCCTAATCTACTCTTACACCTGCAACCCCATCTATGTTTGCAGAAAACAGGCTTGAAGGAATGGCACCACATAAACTTAATTTTCCTTCTTTCTGAAGTCAAGCAGAGAAAACTTATCTCAGACAGTAAAGTGATATTATGACTAAAATCCTGACCACCTGAAATGCTATCACCTTGTTTGGTTGGGATGGAGCAGGCCAAAATATCTCCTGCTTTGAAGGTGCAGATAGAAAACAACATTTGCTAATCAGATAGATAAGACACACAGTAACATGCCCTGGGCTAGTCACATGTCTTGCACATGTCCCATGGGCCAAAATGTGGCCATTAGTTATGGTATCTGCAGCATGTGACCATTGATTGTTCTGTGATGATGCAATTATCACAACAAATGGCTAAATTTCTGGCCCACAGAAACTGAAAGAGATGTCACCAGCCATGTGCATGCTACCTTTAATAATGCAATACTCATTTCAATGCCATTGTCTGAGGCAGCAGCAGTGCCAAGCAGACAGCCACCACCTGCTGACCACTGTGACTGCATCTGTCTGGTAGCCAGTGCTGTCTGAGGCAGCAGCAGTACCAAGCAGACAGCCTGTTGACCACTGCGACTGCATCTGTCCGGTAGCAGACGCCAGCCAGCATGCCGTCGGCGACCAATGGCGGCACTGGCGACGCGAACATCGTGGACCTGGACCGGGCGGCGGCCGAGGCCGAGTCGCTGCTGCGCCGCGCGCTGCGCGACGTCAAGCAGGGCTCCACCTACAAACAGCTGGGCGTGGGCGCTGCCGCTGGCTGGTGCGTCCCTCCTCGCCCGTCCGGAAGGCGCTGACTGGTGACCCTGCCCCAGGGGCACACCGTCCCCGCATCCCAGCGGAGTAGCTCTGACCCCTCCCTCTAGACGGAGTGTTCATGTGCCGTGCCGTGGATCTGACGTAGCTACTGATACTGGTGCTGAGGCTGGGGCCATGTCACAATAGATACATGTGTTTGACGTGCACGCAAAGGTGTTTCGACGACATGCACTGTGAACGGGCTCTTCACGTTGATCTGTGACTGCTACTACCAAGGTTACCATCACTTTCCGAATGCACGGCTTGCCGGTGCCGCCTCTTGATCACGTCGCTCGCCTCTTTCCTTCAGGATCACGGGCTATTTGGGCATGAAGGTGGGCAAGCTGGCCGCCATGACGCTGGGCGGCTCGATGCTGGTCATGCAGATTGCCTCGCACAAGGGCTACATCCGGGTCAACTGGAAGAAGGTCAACAACGACCTGCAGCAGATCAGCGAGCGCGTGCAGGACGACGTGCAGAAGACGGCACCCGGAGCCGTCGGCGAGGTGCTGTTATTGGCCGCTGGCAGGTGGCGACCATCAGCGCCTCTGCCGGACAGGCTGAGAATGAAAACTGCGGGGGTCAGCAGAGATGTTTTTGGCCACGTTTTCAGTGATTAATGGATTTATGGATGCAGCACAAGGTGTTTAAGGCCGGGCGGCCTGGAGGATTTTGGAAAGTGCTGCTCCACTGGATGGCTGTTCTGTCCTGGTGGGATGACATTTGTGCGTGATGGGCCAATGACGGTATGTCATTGATGTGCCATCGACATCACAGTACGCATTGAAGCCCTGCTCCCTGCTCCATTTGCATTGCCTCAGACTGCCGAGTGCTAAAGGCGCGCTCTTGTCCTGGCTCTCCAGCTCCTGTCTGGTCCTGGCATCCCGGCCGCGGGTCTTGCGCTGGCAGGGGCAGAACACTTATGGAGAGACGTTTTGTGACAGAGAGTGGTTCGGAATCGCATTTCACTGGCATCTGGCAATTTGAAAGGTTGGGTGCTGGAGGTGAACAGCTGGCTCGGTTTGTCCCTGCTACGTTGTTGCGACTGTAGCTTTCCTCGTTTTATTGATAATGCATAAAGGCTCCACACGACTTTGGTGGTTTACCTTTCCAGGCATCTGTCTAGCTCCCAAGAATAAGCCCTGGCATTGGATGCGCGAGTCCGTGGTCTTTGATGTTTTAAGATCAGTTTGTTTTTTTCGTTATAATCTAAGATACATGATCCATTCGATAAGTTATTTGAAAACCATTTTTAGGGATCTTAGACGTGTCTCATCTTGTCGCCAAGATATGTCAAATGATATGGCATCTTTGATATACTGCTCGCAAGTTCTTTGATTTGTGCGTTCATTGAATGCGGTCACAGTTGCCTTGTTATTACCAACACAGTCATGCACTTTTTGGCCTTTCCTGATGTGCATTCCTCCTGTTCTTATCACAATCTTTTATCTGTGTTGGTGGTGGTGTCGTTTCTCTGTCGTTTGGTACCGGGGTCAGCAGGACCACTGGCGGACCGGCTCGGCAGGCATCCAGTGACGAGTGGCAGTCCGAAACGCCAGTTCAGCTTCAGTTCATGACCGGGGCTCTCCCGTTCCAGGTGAAGAAGTTCGCCAACGAGAACAAGTACGTGGCGGCCGGTTTTACGGGAGGCTTCCTGATCGGACTGTCCTGCTCCTGAACGCCTCCTGTTCTTGCGTAGCTCCTGCCGCTCTGGAGGGCGGCAGGGTCTGGCCGGCCGGTCGCCCCGCGGCCCTGACTGGACGACACCGCTGCTTTCATGAGCGGTGTCTCTGGAGCGGGCTGCGGGGCGTGGGACTGCCGGCCACACTGAACGCGGCCTGAGTGCCCCGCTGGCGTTCTTACTTGCCAGGGGTTGTATGGACTGTGGGTGACTTGCCGAGGACGTGCGGGCGCGCCGCGCGATGCTTTATGAAGTGGAAGACTGGGTTGGCTTGAGTCGGCTCCGTTCGCACAATGCCAGGTAGTGCTCCAAGTCCTGGGCGATGTGAATGTCTCCAGTCTCGGGCGATAGCGCGACTTTTAGCATGTCACCTGCAGCGCCCCCGGTGCCATGGCGTCACGATAGTACCGCGTGGTTTTCCGCTGTGTATGCCGTGACCCGCCGTTCAGTCGACGTGGTCCGAGCTGTCTGGACGTTGGTGTGAGGCCTCTCCTCCGGATATCTCGGGCCCCGCGCCGGTCCCAGCCCCGAGAGTCCGGCCTTCCCCCTCGCACCGGTCCCACCCCACGAGTCCAGCCCCACCCCCCGCGCCGGTCCCAGCCCCGCGAGTCCAGCCCCCACCTCCCGTGCGCCAGTCTCTTCCCCACGAGTCCGGCCTTTCCCCTCACGCCGGTCCCAGTCCCGAGAGTCCAGCCCCACCCCCCGTGCGCCGGTCCCAGCCCCACGAGTCCGGCCTTCCTCCTCGCGCCGGTGCCAGCCCCACGAGTCCAGCCCACCCCCCACGCCGGTCCCAGCCCCGAGAGTCCAGCCCCATCTCCCCCGCGCCGGTCCCAGCCCCACGAGTCCAGCTCCGCTCCCGCGCGCCAGGCTCAGCCTCACTGGAAGCAGAGCCGCCACAGACCCGGGCTGGCGTGGACATCTGGACGCATGTGTGTTGGCACAGCTGGCTGTGTGGCTCTGGTTGGTGAGATGTAGGAAGCTCGATGGGATGTAGATATGTAACGCGTGTAGTGCACTGTTCCTGGTTTGCCTAGATCTTTATTTTTTCTGTGCGTAGGTGCATTTGTTGGGTGTGCCTTTTCTCCCCTTACCGAAATAAATAAGGTATGCATGACTCAAATTCGTATGCTGATGCTGTCACGGATAGCCCTACATAAGCAGATTGATGACGGTATGCCAGTTGGTGTTATTTGTGGCAAAGCGCTTGGACTCACACAATATCCGTTTTCGGATACCTGCTCTAAAGTTTGCAGCGTGATCTTATCCACATGTTCTTCCTATTCCTGAGCTTTCTTCATGCTGTAGGAAGTCCACAAAGCTGGGCCCTAACAAAAGCCAAACAGGAGATCGGTGTTACGGTGCGGGCGGCGTGCTTGCATTTGACAGCGGACGAATCCATGCGTGATGGCTGGAGCAAAATGCGGAAGTGGTACCACGGCATGTGTTGATGGTTCTTTTACAACGGTTGAAAAGTTTGGGTTTTGTGTTCGTTCTAGGAAAAATGACATTCTAACGTTGTTTTCGTGAATCTATTCTTTAACGGCGGCATTATGCTGCACGACAGATGGAAGTCTACGAGGAATTCCGTCTTCAAACCTTGATAAAAATCTTCTATCCCTTTCGGGTTGCCTGAATGAGCAGCATGATTTGCCTTCTGTTTCTGTCTCCTTTCGTGCAAAACACATTATATCAAATATTCAATAGTTTGTGGACCGAATTTTCATTTTCTTTCCTTCCAGTACTTTTTCTCTTCGATCACCCCTTTCAACGCTTCTGCTCATTTCGCGTGAGGTGTATGGTTGACATCAGACCCGGCTCTTTCGCCTTCGTGATATATGTTGGAGACACTGGCGTCACTCGTCCAACAGCTGCACGTGTTGTACACAAACAGCGGCGTAACGCGTCGAGCTGTGCGTGGAGTAGCAACAAGTGACCCGCTCAGCACAGGAAACCAAGGGTAACGCTCGGAAGGCAGCCGTATAACCATCCGTTGACCAGTTGCGGCATGCATCTAGAATGGTGAATTGCTTGGATTACGAATCGCTTGATTTGCGAATCGCTTGGATTACGGATCGCTTGGTCCCCACTCGGAGACGATGTCTCTTTGATAGAAGTGATTCCAGTTTTAATAACTCCGCGCAGCTCTCAACTCAGAAAAGTAATGATCCAACGCAGCAGTTCTACACATTCGTTGAGACAATGCATGCATGCCCAAGATCAGGACTAATGGATGATTCTGGTCGAACTCGGGCAAGAGAGAGCAATGTCTGTTCGAAAATGTTCGTGAAGTTACCGATATACTTAGCAATTGCTCCAGAGACGAGTTCTGATTTCTCTGAAGAAAGGTCGAGGCGAATCATAGCACGAGAACATCGAAAATGATCTTTATTTTGCAATATCATGTGACCTTCAAGGTTAAAAGCTGAGTCAAAGGACGGGGAACTCGATAACACCCAAAATTACCGACCGATTTTAAAATTGCAAGCATAAAAAACACAAGCGCAAGAGCTAGCGTTCATAAAGAAGTCCAGACTTTTCAAGATCCCCTGCAAGGTCAAACGCGGGCTAAAAGGACGGGGAACTCAATATCACCCAAAAATTATCCGCCGATTTTACACTTGAAAACATTAAAATGTTAACCAGTTCAAGAGGTCAAAAAGTCCTGCCCTCTCAAGGTTATCATTCCAGGTCAAACTCAAACTCAAAGGACGGGGAACTCCGTATCACCCAAAAATTACCAGCTGATTTTCAACTTGTCAGGGCCAGAATACTCACTACAGCAAGGATTAGCGACCGCCGAATAGTCCTGACCTTTCGGGGCGACCCTTCAAGGTCAAACGCGGCCTGAAAGGACAGAGAAATCAATACTTCCCAAAAATGAGCGGCCGCTTTTAATTTTCCAAGCATATAATATTTACAAGCGCAAAAACTGGCGTCTGCCAAACAGTCCTGACCTCTCAAAGTCACCCTTCAAGGTCAAAAGCGGGCTCAAAGGACGGGGAACTCCATATCACCCACAACTACCGGCTGATTTTAAACTTGCAACTGTCAGAATATTCACCATAGAAAGAACTAGCGCCCGTCAAGCTAGTCCCCATCGTTTGAACCTGCGTTTGACTTTGGAGGGTGACCTTGAGAGGTCAGGATTTTTGACGGACGCTAGTCCTTTCTGTGGTGATTATTCTGGTTCTGGCAAGTTTAAAATCGGCCGGTAATTTTTGCGTGATATGGAGTTCCCGTCCTTTGGGCCTGGATTTGACCTTCAAGGTCAGGACTTTTCAAATAAAGCGATTTTTTCTGCGTTGAAAATTTTGATATTGCAAGTTTAAAACCAGCCTGTAATTTTTGGGTGATATGGAGTTCCCCGTCCTCTCAGCCCACGTTTCACCTTGAAATTCACATGGTATTGCAAAACAAATGTCGTTTTCGGTGTTCTCGGGCCGTAATTCACATTGAGACCTTAATTTCAGGGAAATCGGAGCTCGTCGCTGAAAAAAAATCGCTGAATAAATCGCCAACTTCACGGCTGCTGGAGCTCTGCGGACGCCGGGCGGAGCTTTGGGTAACGTGTGACGGGCGTGCGGGCGTGTACCCTCGAAGCCGATCTGAAGGGGGTCGTCTGTGATGGTCGCTTGACAACTTGCCGGGAGGACCGGGATGGCATAGCTCGGCTGCGTATGGGCATCGCCAGGCATTTTTCGCCAAGAACTGCTCATCGGAGTGGCATCGTCCTACTTAGTAGGCTACTGGTTAGTGTTGAGTGGACTACTGGGTAACGACCTCTTTGCAGCAAGGCGCTTCGCATCTCAAGCAGACTCCATTTCAAAGCCATCCCTCCGAGACATCCGGAAAAATGATAGATATCCCGCACTCCTCCATATAGGGTAGAACGTTCAGTATGGTTCGGGTACAGCACCTACCTGATGTACGACGCAGCCCACGTACTTGACATTTGAAATGTTGCGATTCGCATGTGTAGGTCCTCTGGCTGCACAGTAGGAAGCGAATGGTAATATTTGAACGGAATATTAACCCCTAATACACGCATACGCAAAAAAACGTCGAAGCAGAGATGATGTTAAATGGTGGCTGAGTCAGTGTGACGTTGCCCCGTCGTGAGCATGGAGGCTTGGGCCTGTCGGCCCGAGCGCCGCCCGCGGCGTTTTCAGTCACGTGGTCGACACCTGCCTGACTTCGCAACTGCGGTCGGGCCGCCGGCACACCCGCTCACACCTCACTCGCTCGCGTCTAGCGGCCCGGCCGCACAATCATGCAAACTGCTATGCAACGGCGGATGTGTAGGTGGGCGTTGACGGACCTTCTAGACGTCCGATGAGATAAATCTGACGATGAGACGACTAGGACTGCAGGATCCGACGGTTCGGCGCGTCTCAGCCAGACGGCCGCGCCAGGACCGCCGGTAGGGGGCGGGCGGACAGCCGGGCCCGGTTGGGTGCCCCTCATTGTCGGCCCGGCGGCGGAGCTGCGAGGATGTGGGCGTGCGCCGCCCTCCTGCTGGCTGCCCTTGGGGCGGCCTCCGCTCAGGTGCTCACGCCGCCCATCTTCAACCTGGCCCAGAGCAAGCGGATCGAGGCGACGGCCACGTGCGGTGTGGACGTGTCGGAGCCGGAGCTGTACTGCCAGCTGACCGGCGGCAACGCCGAGAAGGAGGTTAAGGTGCAACTGATCCAGGGACAGGTCAGTGGAGGCGCCGCTGCGCGCTCTGAGACACGGTATCATCACGGCAAAAGAGCAATCTGGTTTTCTTTTGCAGCAAAATGGCATTCGGCTGCATGCTATTCGGCAATTCTTCCTGGAAGAATTCTAAGGCAATGTTAAAGCAAAATTATGCGTGTAGCACATCGGCGGCAATACCAAATTACTGTTAAGTCATTAGGTACACCCCACTTGAACTAGTGAATACGCACCTGCTGTTCATTTTCGATCAGGACCGAGTGGCTTCCCAGATCGTTCGCCCCAAAGACGGTTATGTGTCCATCTTAACCAGTCACTAGGCTTTCAGCATGTTTAGTGCCGGAACGTTTTACGTTGCCATGACTGAGCCCAAAGAAATTTAAAATCCAGGGGAAAGGCGAACGACCTTGTGTGCAAGCTACTGACGTTTACAAGCTATTTCGTGTAAAGAATGGCTAGCTGAGCAGGCGAGGCGAGCTGAATGGGAAATCATTACTCTGGATCACCGTGGTGGTTTAAATTTGCTAGATTCTGCGCGACTCGAGGCGCGTTGAATGTAACCATGTATGGATCAAGTGAACCATTTACGAAAGTGTTTCGAATTTCTTTACGATTTTAAACTGATACAGCCGCCTTGAAGACCTTTCGATGCCGTTCACAGCCATGTCCTTCTTATGACCTAAACTCCTGTAGTTTCTAAACCACACGCCGGCGAAAATGGGCAGACTTTTTCGGGGAGTGTATTTTAAGGTCACATTGGCATTCATAACGTCATATCAACATTATTCCAATTCTGGCATTCCATAAGCCGTGCTGTGCTCAAGGCCGAGAAAAATATAATTGTCGAGTCAATCATATCTGACGTTCGTGAGCACAATTTCCAGATATAACGGCTGTCGGTTGGGTCTTTATCGATGTTGTGGAAGGTGCGATGACGCTATCAAACAATGACGTATCGAAGAGCATATTTAAAAGGGGAGAAACTGTGTTGTCTGGAGCAGTCTTTTCTACCTAGGAGTATGACAATAGTTTTAAGTGAGCTATTTCATGACATCTGATGTTTGCTTCAACATCTTCAAATGTGGAGCATTCCCTTTGAGCCGTTGTTGGAGCAGCATCTGTGCGTGAAGCTTTATATGCATGCGCCTATTGGCAGCGGTCATGTTTTAGATGTTCCTTTTCGAATAGGGCTGCCGATTACGTAACGGCAGAGTTACTTCACTGTAGTTCAAAATATGTATCAATAGGTTGCAAAGCTGTTGACCGAGTATGGAAGGGGATGCTACCCCAGTTTGCCTTTTCGGCGGTTGGTGTTCTTGGTTTCTTACCACATTCGGCCTAGTGACACCACAAGCTATAGCAGAATCTTACAAGTTTTGGTTGTGCTGAAATATTGCATGTTGTAGTTATGTGGGCTTGT